AGCCCGAACCGCCCAGATCCGCTCCGACAACCACGCCCAAGAACCCCGAGCTCCTCCTCCTTCAGCCCGTCGCCGATCAGCCCTCCGACGTCGCCATCTCATCTGTGCCATCCCTGAGCTCCTCGTTGCCACGCCGCTGTCCTCGCCGGGCCTCTCACCCCGTCGTGCCTTCGCTCGTCTCCCCTTCGCCACCCCGCGTCCGATTCGACCTGCGTTGTCGGCGTCGATTCGTTCGACGAAACCCCGAGGCAAGATCCCTTTCTTTTGACTCGTCATTTCATTTTTTAGATATAATATGAATTAATTACATGCTTCGATCTGACTGTGATTTGGTTATGTCACCATATGAATATTGATATTATCTGCGTGGGTTGTGGATGCTTAATATTAATAATGATATTATGATAAGTAATTTAAAGAAATAATTATTTTGTGCAAAATTGGTTATTTTGAGATGTTTTTAGAATTATTATGATGAGAAAAAGATTTATTTGGAAAAATGGTTTGGTTTGAATGATTATTAGAACAGATAATTTAAAATTATTTATTTCGAAAAATGGGTCATTTTGAAAAGTTATTTTCGGCAAAAGAATTATATTTTTGATAATTATGATGATTAAAAGAATTTATTTCGGCAGCAGAATCATTTTTGGATAATTATATTAATTATATTTTGTTAAAGAATTTATTTGAAAACGGAATCATTTGAGGAAAATTATGGTAATTTTAAAAGAAATTATTTTGGAAAAGGAATTATTTTTCTGAATTACATAGTTGTTGTCTATGATTACATTTCATGTTTTATGAATATTTTACTATATTCGACATGTCATGATGTGGTTGCGTGAAATTAGTGTTATTATTATCTCATTGTTGTGATTGAGAACCATTAGTAGTTCATGACTTAGTGGTCTCGTGCGTCATGAACAGACTTAGTGACATGTGTGAGTGTGTTAACTGATTAGGTGGTGAACCCGAGTTTCAATGAGAATTGTGGTTGATTTAGAAAAACAAGAAGAGTTGGGATGGGGAAGTTAATGTTCATGTGATCGGATAAGGCTGTTGATATATCTTCCAGACTCGCGTCAGTGGTTGGTGTCGCTACTGGGGTTGGTTTGTAGGGCTAAAGTGAAGTGTGTACATCACTTTAGTCAGTGTGATTGTTTCGTCACCCGAGTTGTGCTTGAGTTCGGACCAGGCAGAAAACAGTTTACGTGTAGTCCTCTGGCCGCATGTGTAGCGGGATTGGATGCACGTAGGGGATTTGTTAACAGTCAGTATACGATGACAGGAGCGTTGACTCTGTGTGAGATGTGACCAGTGACTTGTTATAGAATGTCTAGTTACGTGACATTGTTTCTTGGCTAGGTAGGATTTCTTGTGAGATGTATGCCAGTTGTGTTTCTTTTCATACATAGATCGGGGATAATATTTAATTATCTACAATTTGAGACAAATGATATATACATGAGGGTTTTCCTGTTTGGATTATTTCGCTCGACGTACTACATCTCATATTGTAGATAATTAAATATTAATTCCATCTATTGTATGCCTCTGTTACTTGGATGATTAGACTGATCGCTAGCTACATGATCTCGTTACCTGATCGATTCTGGATGCTTTATGTTATCATGATTTAGTAGTGTTTTCATGTTGATTTGTGGATTTCAATTGTACGTTCTTTTGTTGTTTCTGTTATCGTATCATTTTTCGCATTGGATTTCTGTTCGTTCTATTTTCTTTATGGGGTCGGGTCTTGCCGTGTGCCATACACGCTGACGTACACCTGTTTTCTCTGGTGTACGTCAGACTTAGAAGAAGAACATGTTCAGCTTGGAGATGCGCCAGAGCCGAGTATTCTCAGTAGGAGTGCCTTGTAGATGGAGCAGAAGAACAAGTTGAAGTTTAGTTATTCCTTTCACTTTATTTTCGTAGCATTTCCTTTTCCGCCTGATCATTGTATTTTATATTCTCCAGTATTTCATTCAGATAGTTTGTATAAGGGCATGTTGACCCGAATATTATGTCTCGGATGTTATCTCATTTGTGATATGATATTTTTATTCTGAGTTTGTCTATTATATTCTTGTTGATTGTGATCGGGGACCTGTGACTTCGCGTTGTATTTATTTCCAGACGCTTAGCGTATTGGATTGAGAAGAAAAGAAAGAGAAAAAAATAATAGTGTATATTTCTTCTCAATCTAATACGTCGCGGGCTTGTTCATGTTCCGATTCCCCGGTATTTTGGGAAGCGGGGCGTGACAGGTAAAAATGATGATGAGTCTTCGAGCAATACCACAAAATCATTAATTTCCTTAGCTCTTGGGACCAACACATGAGCCGTTATATTATCTAAAAATCTCGTTCCTCGTGTAATGTGCAACATCGTTGAATATTATCCATAAAGTGTGCGAAAATCAAGTGTTGCTCCACCCCATTATGGATATCTCTAATTATCGTGTTCGCATCTTCTTCAAATATTATCTTTCCACATCCAATGTCAAGAGCAAATGTAATAGATTCCCATACCGTTTGGAATTCTGCATGCTTAGAATTATCTCCTATCCAAATACTATGATAACTATATTGCAATAGTTAGTACTATATTATGATAATTTATATGCTATTTCTAGACTACACAAAGAGATTAACATTTATATTAGTATTCCTCACCATGGATTTTTTACATGTTAGATGCACATATCAATATATTATAGTATTGGATTAGATGTTAGATGTTTAACTAAATATTTTATTATCATAAATTATGATATAAATTATAAATATAAGTTACGATATTATTATCTTATATATTAATATTGTATATTTATTGTGTAATATCTAATATCTAAAGTGAAATATTTATCTTATTTAACATAACACTAATATTGGTAAAATTAATAATATGTTAGTTATTATGTTTAGTACAAGAATAATTATGGTGTAATAAATAGAATAAATTGAATAAATTAAAATTTATAATATATATTTAGTTCTTAGTATTTGTTCTCATGTTTATTTTAAAAATAACTATAGTGTAATAAATAGAATTAACTGAATAAATTTCAATGCATTATTGTGAATTATCAAATTTTAGAAGGATGAAAGAGGCAATCAAAAGTTTTAACACTAAAATCATCTTTTATATGTAGTATAAACATAGATTTATTGGTCGTTGTTTGTTGAGACCCCACTTCCACTCTGATTGGAGGCAGCAAGCCTTGAGTACCAGCCGCATACTCTTTTAACTCTGGATTGAATCCACACCCCAAGTACTGAATCTTCTTCATCCTTATTATTTATTTTTTTTGTGGTCGCAGAAAAATTTATAAGTCAGCATCATCCTATTGAGTCCATGGGCTACATGAGTATGCAAAATGTAAGTTTTCATTTTTGTTGACAAAAAACTGCGGCACTGAATAATTATTTGATGAAGAATCAATTTTCCTTTGAAAAATCTGCCGGCACGTTCTGGTCCAAGCACGAAGGATATGACGGGCGGTGTGAGGGTGGCTTGGACCTAATCCTAACCGTGTTCCGATATTAGTAGCCCACGTCTTTGCATAGTTTGATTATTACTCCCCCACGTATTCATATTTCGAAAGTACTCTTGCTAGTTTTTTGAAAATAGTTCCCAAACCAGTTAAATATAAATAAACGAATATTGCATTACAAATCTAACATCTGCTAATAAGAGGGACTAATTTCGAAATAGTTATAAGATTTGAGGGACTAGTTCAAGATTTTAATCATTTTGAGGATTAATATGAAAATATTAGAGATTGAGAAACTAAAAATAGAGAAGCAATCCTAGGGATTTTCGCTTACAAACCCGATGCTTTACCCTATTACTACTTAGACCCCACGTAGTCTTTATGTTCTCCTCCCACACAAACTACAAGTTCACTTACCTCTTGACCCAAGTATAGAAATACAAAAGTGCACAAACTATGTATAATGGGTATATATGTAACTATACACCCTAACAAAGTATGTAAGCTCACGGTCACCTGGGGGCGAGCAAACTTCGGTTTAAATGGAACAAACTGACCGAACCATCTGATTTTTAATAGTTTGGTTCAGTTTGGAAATCACTTGGGTTCAGGTCGGGTTTGAAACTCTTAAAACAGTGCCCACCGAAATGACTGAATACCCTAAAACCACTGAATTACATACCCTCTCACACGCTACGTGGGCCTACCCACTATACTTGATCCCACATTTAAAGTGCTCACTCAATTGCCAAATGATTTTACAATAAATATTAGAGAAAGCGAGGGATCCACATGCTGTTTCCCTTTTCCTAATGTTCGAATGAAAACATGCCTTTCTTCGTACGAATTACGAGGCAACCACTATGAAAAAAAAATCACAAGCTTGGTTATTTATAATCTTCTTTGGTCTTCAATATCACCATTTCTATTTCTTTTTTATACTTTTGACCGTGGCGGAAACCCATACTTTCTCAGTTACGGCTATATCCCCCACTCCTAGTGCTCGGTGACAAATACTCTTGTTGCTTGGTGACAAAGCTCATAATAACCGAGAAACTGACCGAACCGAACCGATTCAGTTCGGTTTCATTTATAAACCGGCTCGGTTCAGTTCGGTTCGGTGTGTTAGAAAATCGTAAAACAAATACTGCACCTACCGTTTGCTCTCCCCTACTCACCCCAATCTCAAGGAGGATTGAATAACAAATTCCGGCAACGTGGGGGGTTAAAATGGAAAACCAAAATGCGGATATGGGGGCAGATGGACCCAATTCGCGTGTATGTGGTGTGGGGGAGTTCGCCATTGTGTTGCGGGCCGGAATCATCCACACACCACCAGATAATATTTCTCCCTCGTCAATTTGTCATTCACACTTGGTTGGTTACCTGATAATAGAAAGAGGAGACCAGCAATCAGGAAGAAGGGGGAAAAAAAAGAAAAAAAAAGAAATCCGCTGGAAATAGCGTCAT